TATATATATATATATATTTATATATTTATAAGAGAATAACTAAGAAGGAGCAGGTAAAGTATGAAGAGGAGGAAGCCTAAAACTGAGCCATGTGGGATCCCACACAAAAGAGGTGCAGAGGAGGACACCAAGGCAGACACAGGAGGCACACTCAGTGGAGTAGGACCTAAACCAGTCCACTGCTGTACTGCTGACACCCCCCATTGTTTCGAGCGACAAAGTAAAATGCTGTGTCCACTGGTCCACTGTGTCAAAAGCAGAAGATAAATCTAAGAGCACAAGGACGACACAGTCACCGGAGTCAGTTGCTAAAAATATTTTGTTTAAAACTTTTCATTAAAAGCGCAGAATTTGTACTTTGTAAAGTTTTAAAACCAGACTGTAAAACATCTAAAATGTTCGGTTCTTTCAAACATGCTATTAATTATTTGATTTGATTTGCAAAAGAAATGGCAGTTTAGAGACTGGCCTATAATTAGCAGGAACGGGGGGTGGGGTGTGTGTCAAGTGGGTTTCTTAATCAGAGGCTGGACAGCTGCATGTTTACAATTTCCAGGGACCACACACCAGAGGACTGACTGCTATTCAAAAGAGCAAGGACCGAATGCCCTACATTGAGGAAAACCTCTTTAAATAAACGAGGAGGAACAGCATCATTTGGAGAATCTGTTGACTTTAAAGTGACTTAACACCTGCAGTGATGACAGTTGCAGGTTTAAAGCTGTCAAAAACAGCAGAGCAGGGAACAGAGACTGGTGGGTGGGTCATGAGCAGAAGGTGACTTTCTCAAAAAAAAAAAAAAAGTTTTCGCATGCAGCAGGCGAGGATTCAATACAGTCTGTGTGTGGGGCGTTAAGAGCAAACTCAATTATTTGAAATAAAACACAAGGATTGTGACTGTTTGATACGATCACATCAGTCAGGTGTTTCCTTTCACAGTTATTTTGATAATGACGCCTGCAGTCCTTTAAGATTTGAAACGACCCCTGTATTTTGTCTGTTTTCCACCTGCGCTCCGCTCTGCGACACTCTCCTGGCAGCCCGAGTGTCATCATTCAACCAGGATTCATGGATTTTAATGGAGCCACAGAATCCAGAATCGTTTTGCAGGTGGAGTCAAGCCATGAGTCTCAGTTTTGTTGCACAGCCTCTGGGAAGGCACAGTTCTGATTAAAAACTGGTGAGAACTGACCAGCAGTGGAAGAGTTGTAAACACAGAGCCGAGCTGCAGCGTGGGGTTTACTGAGTTCTGTTAAATCCATCAGCAAGAAATGAACGGGACGTGTAAATCTACCAAGAGCAGGCCGTCCTCACAAAGTGGGTGATTGTACAAGAAGTAGGCCACCAAGACACCTGTGAGCACTTTAAGAGTTGTAAGCTTCAGCAGGTGAGATAGAAGAGACTGTGCATACCTGAGTTCTTCACCAGTCTATTTATGGGAAAGAGAATGGAAGGAAACCCCCTACTAAATCTCAACCAGTCTACAAACTGGACGTCTTCTAGTTGAGGTTTATCGTGAGTTTTCTTTAACAGTAAACTCGCATGAGTCATCTTGCATTTTTGAAAACCAGTGCTACAAAAAATGAAACGGGAGTGGGAAAGTCAGTCAGAATAAATGTTTTAGTTGGTTTCTGATTCATGCGCAATAATCCAGGTAGAAAAATCCAACGAAGTTAAGTCCGGTCCTCTTGATGGTTTCTTTTTGTTGAAGCATTTCGCCGTTCATCCAAAAGACTTCATCGGTCAAAGTAGCCACAACAAACTCAGACTTATAAATGGCACCTTAGTGGTGTACTGGGTCAACCAGTTTGATGGTGCAAAGATGGTTTCTGTTGTCCACCTTGTCCCCCGCCGACTCGTTTGAGGCAGTCATGGCCAAAGTGGTTCAAAATATCCCAATTCATGCTCAGTAAGGCGGGGGAGAGGGTGGACTCCAGAAACCATCTGAGCACCATCAAACACAGTCGTCCCCCCCCCCCCCCCCCCCCGGCACACACACCTTCTTCAAATCTAACAAAACTGGTGTCAAACGTTTGTGCTACGTTTGTGCAGCTATCATTTTAAAGATAGTAATAAATGTTTCCAGAGGTCAAAATGTACCAAAGACAAAAGTACAGTGTGTTTAATAGCACCCCCTGGTGATCAGAAACCAAAATGCAGGTCATTGCTTTTTGGAGGTGTATTAGTTCTAAATGAATGTTATCCATGTTAAAATTAATCTATTCATGTTCATAGTTCAGCACTTAAGCATTTTTAAATGCAATTCACAGTTCCAACATGAACAGACTTTTGTTGATTTTTATGACCTTTGGAAACTTTTTTATTAATATCTTTGAAATGATATGGTCCGGGGGCCTTTCTGGGTGGAGTTTGCATGTTCTCTCCGTGCATGCGTGGGTTTTCTCTGGGTACTCCGGTTTCCTCCCACAGACCAAAAACATGCATGTTAGGCTGATTGGTAACTCTAAATTGTCCCTAGATGTGAGTGAGAGAGTGAATGTTTGTCTCTATGTGTCCCTGTGATGATGGACTGGAGACCTGTCCAGGGTGTCCCCCGCCTCTCGCACAGTGATGGCTGGACATGGGCACCAGCGACCTCCGCAACACGAAAAGGAAGAAGCGGGTAAAGATAATGGATGGATGGAAACCGTCCAGAGGGCGGGGCTTAACTTTGTTAGGTTTTAGTTTGTTCTTTTGCGTCTGCCTCCTTTTAAACTTGTTCACAAAAAAAAACAAGATCACTTTATGTCTGAAGAAAATCTTTATTGAATCTCAAGCAGAAACATACACGTTAATCCCTTATTGCTCTTTGCTTTCTGAATCTCGCTCATCCAAAGCATTTATTATTATTTGTTGTCCTTTTCTGAAAAGCACATTGTGTGACTGAGGGAAGGTGGCCTCTTTCTCATGAATCCTGTCCGCTCTTATATATTACTGCTAATTCAAAACTGCAAGTCTTGTTCAGATTTCACACACTACTCTTCCATTTCTCATGGATCCTGATTGTACTACTGTCAGTTGTGGGTTTTATGGCTGAAAGCTTGAGGTTTTAGCTGTTGTATGAACAGCTACTCTGTCCTTCTTCACCAAAACAAGAAATCAAAAACAACAAAAAAAAGAAAACCCAGCAAAATAAGAGCTATTTTTCTGAATATATACATATCTATTGTTTAATTGATAATACTAATAGTGTTAGCGGCTATATAAACATGTGAGAACACAGTTAAACTTAGGAATTATTGCCTTGATATTTTTTTTTTTGCATGATAAGGAATGTGATAAATTGAGATCAAGTGGGTTTGGATACATATTCGCACATTAAATTTTCCAGACAAATGGCATGCAAGAGACGGGAGACACATTCAGTGAGGGAACAGAAACATTTCGAAACACTGCACAACGGGAACATTTACCACACTGATGATGTTGGGTGCCCGAACAACGACTTTACAGAGAACGCGAGACAGCGTGTGCAAAGTTTTACATAAATTTCAGACACGTTTGAACACACAACATGAACTTTTTAGGAGCACATCTTTGTGATATATTTAAAATATGGCTTATCAAGTACATTTTTTTGTAACATTTTTTGTGATTTTTGCCTACTGTGAGTTTATTTATGTACAAACCGAAAGAAGGAAGTGGTTAATTGTTGTTCAGAGTTGCAAGAGAGCTTCACAGCTGTTGCGGAGGAGAGAAATCAAAGTTTAAAACTTCTCAGAAAGAGAAGGATAAACTGTCCGACATGTATCTTCTCTGCTTGTTGCTAGTTTCAAATTCATCATTCACCTGGCTGTTGTTGAGTCGGTTTAGGTTACGGTTTTTTTGCACTATTGGTCATTAAAAGAAGAGCACGTCATCAGCTCTAAATTCACTTTACTTCAGTCATTATTGTGTCATTGGCGGGGGAGGGGGGGGGGGGGTTAATTGAACAAATCATGACTCAAGCCAGCCTTGTGAATGTAGCCACTGAGCTCTATACTCAATAATGTTACATCAGCTACTTCTTCAGCATGTCTTGCAGTGGGCCTGGCAGGTACTTCATCACCGTATCCATGATGCTCTCCTCCTCCTCTTCATCGCCACATCCGGCCGGCACAGCTTTCTTGGGTCGGGTCAAGCTGCCCTCTGCAGGCTCCTCTGCAGCAGCTGCCGCCTCGGCTTCGGCCACCTCACGCTTTTTCAACCCATACTGGTGGTCAGAAACAGAAGTTGAAAATGCATGTAAACCATATGAAAATAGAAATAAAACAAATATGGGAAAATGGCTTCTTTGGCCCAACTGAGAAGGAAGTCAAGTAAATGTCCCTCATACTGTGTGAGCTTCGATGAGAAAGACCCTGTGTCCACATCAGTAGCAATACATGACACAACCCAGTAAAAAAACTAGTATATACCAAGTACCTAGTAATCACTAGGTACATAACAGGTACCATATGTACATATTACATGTGCATATATGTATGTTTAGATGTGTATGTATGTATACATATATATGGGTTAATAATGAATGTAGTACTCCTTACCACCTTGTGCATGTTCATATCATCTTTTTCCAAATGTGTGTATTCTGTTTCTTTTTTCATTATTGCATGTGTGTTTCCCCCTGTATAATTAGAACATGCTACTGGATGCTTCAAATTTCCCCTGAGTGAGTGAGTGAGTATGTAGTACATACTGTATTTACATCTGTCTGTCTGTCTGTCACCTACACCTACCTACACCTACCTATGTACCTACATCTACCTACCTACACCTACCTATCCACCTGCCTACCTACACCTACCTACACCTACATACCTACACCTACCTATCTATCTTCCCATCTACCTACACCTACCTATGTATCTAAACCTACATGCACCTACCTACCTACCTACACCTATCTACACCTACCTACCTACACCTACCTACACATACCTACACCTACCTACCTACACATACCTACACCCACCTATGTATCTAAACCTACATGCACCTACCTACCTACCTACACCTACCTACACCTACCTACCTACACATACCTACACCTACCTACCTACACATACCTACACCTACCTACCTACACATACCTACCTAAACCTACTTATACCTACCTACCTACTGACTTACTGACCGATACATAACAGGTGCATGCTGGGTAAACACTAGCAAGATATATAACAGGTCCATACTAGGTAGACACTACTTACATAATAGTGCATAACAGGTAAGCACTAGGTACATACCAGGTGAGTACTAAATAGATAAAAGTTACATACTGGGTAAGGACATAACATGTATTTATACCAGTTAAGTCCTGGGTATGTTCCAGGTAAGTTCCTATGCACTGGGATCTATTATGTTTGTTACTTAAGATTCATTCATCTTATTCAAGCTCTCAGTTTTAAAATGTCTACAGTGACAGGAAACAGAAATGCCAGAATCTGCAACAATAATAATGAATTACAGAATAGTAACATAGTTAATGAACTACTTCACGCTGTAGCGGCACTTATAATCGACCCTCGATGGAAAAGCGTTTCTATAAAAAGTCCAATTTCTCACGATTAACTGTCTTTGTTCCTCTCTCTAATGAACAGTATGTTGATCCCCCTCTGGGCTATTTTTAAACAGTGAAGCAAAAATATCACAGACGTAGGAAAAGCAGTGTAAAAATAGTCTGCATCAATAGCACTCAGGTAAAAAGGAGTTTTGCTGTCACGCAGGCCAGAAACTGAAGCCTGCAGAAGCGACAGGATCAAAAATCAGGACGTAAACTAGAGGCTTTTAAATTGCTCTACATCTAATGTACAATTTAGTTATAAAGCAAGTTTCTAAATGCATTCTGTGAATTTTTACTTTGTCTGGTAGCTGCTGTTGTACAATAAGAGACCGACTGTGTTTCAGATATAGATAAAGGAGTTGCACTCAGACATTTTGTGGATCTTCATACCTTGTCTCTGATGCCTTGCCTCATCGATTCCCGCTCTGCCTCCATCTTGGCATATTTGGCCTTCCTCTCCTCCTCCTGCTGCCTCAGCGCCTCCTGTCGCTCCTCCTCTTTCTTGGCTGCATCAGGGTCTTCCTCCTTCTCCTCCCCACCCAGCATCTTGCCAACATCAGGGGGACCCCCTGAGAGACAGACAGAGAGGAACATGAAGTTGTAAAATAAAAAAACCCAAACTACCCTGACAGATGACATGAGAGAAATTAAAATCTGACATAAAAACCATTTTAATTTTAAAATGCAGTATTAAATTTGTGCAGATTTTCTATAAAAGACGTTTGTTCTGGCAGATACATTTTTTTTCTTGCCGCAACAAGCATTTGCAATTTGCTGCTCAACCAGCAGATCATTTTCCAGGCAACTGTGACATCATTTCAGGGAACTTAAAGCCTAATTTGGTTTAATGGTATAATATATTTTGCTAATAAGCATTGTTACAACAAAGACATGGTCAACCAGACACAAATTTCTTTACTTTTTACTTTTATTTTAAAGCAAGCAGCTTTACTTCCAGAATGCTCCAAGTTAAACTTGTTGTTCAAAGAGCACCAGGCGGCGCCAATACCTCACTTATGTTGATCACTGCAATGAACTTTTTAAAATTTCAATTTCAATATTTTTTAAATCTTCTTTTACACCACTGCAATTTGAGACAAGCTTAGTTTGTCATACATATATATATATAT